TGTGTGTGTGTGTGTGTGTGTGTGTGTGTGTGTGTGTGTGTGTGTGTAGGGAGGACTAATGTCAAGGAAATCATATGTAGTTCAGAGGAGAGCATTAGGCACTAGTCTTCACCTTCTTTTGGGTAAGAAAAGCCAAGCGGTTTCTACCTCATCTCTCAGTAATAGCACTGGGATTCAGCTCTTGCCTTGTGGTTGCTTGGCAAGCCCTTTTCCCACTGAGCCACCTGCCTGGCACCATGTGAAATCTCCAAGGAAAGCAGTTGTGATACTTCCTCCCTCCTTTGGCATGGTATTTCAGATCTTCTGGAATATGATGGCAGAAAGGGGACCACAGAAAGAACATCAATAACCACAAATGCTGTCCTTCCCTAGGCTTCCAGTAATGGACAGAGGATTCCCATGATGTCCTTTATGTCCCAAGCTAGAGAAGAGACAGGATGCTTTGTTCATACCATCTAAAGGGTCATGAGCTTATGGCCTAGGGCTCTGTGGGCTTATTTCCCTCAGCTCAGTCCACTCTCATTTTCCTGAGCGTTTTTTGTTGTTGTTGTTGTTTGTTTGTTTGTTTTTTTCCCAACTGGATGTCTCTATTTCTGTTTCTAATCATGTACACTGGTCTAGTTCATTGAGGCTGGACAAAGACACTTGAATATTTCACAAGTGCCCCTGGGAAAGTTTGGTACTTATATCTGAACTCAGGACCTTACCAACAATATTTGATGAGCCATGCTAGAAAAAGAGGAAAGCATGAGAAATTTCTGGTCTCACTGTCTTTCTGTCTCTGTATCGGTTACTTTCTTATCTCTCTGTCTCTGTCTTTTAGAGAGAACAAAGGTCCTGGCCCCCACAGATAAGCATTAAGAAAGCTGAGAATGCTAAACATGAAGGAGAGTCTCTCTGACAGCAGAGAAGTGTAGCTTTTCCACTCAGAAGGCTGAGAATGGAGGAATTAAAACAAACAAACAAACAAACAAACAACTGGTGTTTTGTGTTATCTGTAGGTCAGGACATAATAAGCTCCCATGGCTGGACCTGAGGTGGCTAATAGGCTAGGTGACTTTTGCCCTATTTGGATGGCCAGAGGCTCACCCAAACTCCCACAAACAGGGCTGGACGTGGCTAATAGCCAAAATGACCTCTACAATATCAGTATGACTGAGACCATCCCAGATCCTTCGCTATGCCCTTAAGCTAATCCATGAAGCCTTTTTCTAGAACCCATCTTTTTGAAAGAAGTGACATCTACTTTGAGCTGAATTTCAATGTAATTATACCTCATTATACCTCCTTGTGAACAGGGGATTTTACTACACCAGAAAACTTTTTTCCCCCCAAATTGTACTGTGCTGAAATATGCTTGCAACAAACTGCCCAGGTCAGACTCTAGAAGTCTGAGCCACCTCTGCCTAACTTGTGATGAAGCACATTTCCTTCTTGCCTCATCCAGACCATTATTGTGCTGGCCATGGTGTTTGCAGGGACTCCAATATCAGTCCCTCCCCATTTTTCTCTGTGTGTCTCTCTCTGAAATAGCCAAATTCATTGCTATGTCATCTTTCCCAGAACACTAAAACATGATGGAGAGTGTGGGCTAGAGAGATGGCTCAGAGGTTAAGAGCACTGGCTGCTCTTCCAAAGGTCCTGTGTTGAATTCCCAGCAACTACATGGTGGCTCACAACCACCTATAATGAGATCTGGTGCCTTCTTATGGCCTGCGGGTACACATGCAGGCAGAATACTGTATAAGTAATAAATTAAAAAATGGGGAACAGAGCTAAACAGAGAATTCTCGATAGAGGAATACCGAATGGCAGAGAAACACTTAAAGAAATGCTCAACCTCATTAGCCATTAGGGAAATGCAAATCAAAACGACCCTGAGATTTCACCTTACACCCATCAGAATGGCCAAGATGAAAAACTCAAGTGACAACACATGCTGGAGAGGTTGTGGAGAAAGGGGAACCCTCCTCCACTGCTGGTGGGAATGTAAACTGGTACAACCACTTTGGAAGTCAATCTGGTGCTTACTCAGACAATTAGGAATAACGCTTCCTCAAGACCCAGCTATACCACTGCTATGTATATACCCAAAATTTGCTCAAGTACACAACAAGGACATTTGCTCAACCATGTTTGTAGCAGCTTTATTCGTAATAGCCAGAACCTGGAAACAACCCAGGTGTCCATCAATGGAGGAATGGATACAGAAATTGTGGTATTTTTACACAATGGAATACTACTCAGCAATCAAAAATGAGGAAATCATGAAATTTGCAGGCAAATGGTGGGATCTAGAAAAGATCATTCTGAGTGAAGCATCCCAGAAGGAGAAAGACAAACATGGTATATACTCGCTTATATAGACCTACAAGATATGATAAATATAATGAAGTCTATACACCTAAAGGAGATAAACAAGAAAGCAGAAACGAGGTAAGATGATCAATCCTCACTTAGAAAGACAAATGAGATGTGCATAGGCTGTATGACAGGAGTCTACTGCAGAATGTCTGAAGACCCTACCAAGCAGCGATTCAAAACAGATACTAAGACTCATAACCAAACCTTTGGCAGAAGGGGAGTTAGTATGACAGGGAAAGGATAGGAGCCCCACAAGGACCAAATATATCTGGGCACAGGGTTTGTTTTTTTTTTTTCTGAAACTGTTTCTCCAACTAAGGACCATGTATGGATATAACCTAGAACCTTTACTCGGATGAAGCTCGTGGTAGCTAAATAACCAATTGGTTTCCCATAGTAAGGGGAACAGGGACTATCTCTTACAGGAACTCAATGGCAGGCTCTTTGACTCCCCACCCCCCAAGGGAGGAGAAGTTCTGCTAGGCCACAGAGGAGGACTTCGAAGCCAGCCCTGAAGATAATGGATAAAACAGGGCCAGATGAAAGGGGAGGAAGTCCTCCCCAATCCGTGGACTTGGAAAGGGGCAAGGAGAAGATGAGGGAGGGACGGTGGGATTGGGAGGGAATAAGGGAGTGGGATACAGCTGGGATAAAGAGTTAATAAAATGTTACTACTAATAATAAAAAAAATGATGGAGACTTTCTGAATGAGGATTGATCATCTTATGGAGGGTCCTCCTTGCTTACCTTCTTTAGGTGTACAGATTTTAGTATGATTATCCTATATTATATGTCTAATATCCACTTATAAGTGAGTATATGCCATGTTACAGAAAGTCAAATGGGATTGACATCAGAACAGGGAGAAAATGAGAAACAGGACAGGAGCCTGCCACAGAGGCACTCTGAAAGATTCTAGCCTGCAAAGTATCAAAGCAGAGGCTGAGACTCAAAGCAAAATTTAGGGCAGAGTGCAGGGCATCTTATGAAAGAAGGGGACAGGAGCTCTACAAAGAGAGAGAGAAAAAAAAATCTTGGCACAGGGATCTTTTCTGAGACTGATACTCCAACCAAAGACCATGCATGGAGATAACCTAGAACCCCTGCACATATGTAGCCCATGGAAGCTCAGTGTCCAAGTGGGTTCCCTAGTAATGGGAACATATCTCTGACATGAACTCAGTGGCTGGCTCTTTGATTACCTCCCACTAAGGGGTAGGGACTGCAGCCTTACCAGGCCACAGAGAAAGACAATGCAACCAGTCCTCATGAGATCTGATAGACTAGGGTCAGCTATAAGGGGAGGAGGTCCTCCCCTATCAGTAGACTGGGGGAGGGGCATGGGTAGAGAAGAGGGAAGGAGGGTGGGATTTGGAGGGGACTAGGGAAAGGGCTACAGTTGGGACACAATGTGAATAAACTGTAATTAATAAAAAAATAAATAACTTTAAAACTGGAAAAAACTGATGGAGGAATTTCTGTAGGAAGATGAATCATGGAACAGGGATATCATATTTAACCCTGCTTTCTGTGTTTTCCCTAGCTACAGCAGCCCACAATAGGAATTAGAGGTTTTCCCCATACCTTACAGGAAGTAAGACCTGAAAACTGGGCACCAGCTGCCCAGGACAAACTGCCTTGACTGGAGGCTCACAGGGATCCTGCTGGGGCCCTGGGCCCTGAGGAGGAGGCACACCCACTTATGCAGAAGTGCTTGCAGCAGGAGAGCTGAGCAGCACAGAGGCAGCAGACAGCAGTGTGGGCAATGGGCACAGAGACCAGCCAGGATACAAATGCCCATGTGGTTTCTCAGCATCCCCTGTACAGCTGGGGGTCCCCAGCCCTTCTAACACTCAGACACTCAATGGCAAACCACAGTCCTAGACACTGCTAGAGGGATGGGAACTGGAGACCCAGGCACAGCTTGCACACTGATCCTGTGACCATGACTGTCACCTGACACATCCTACTGCCTTATGCCCTCTAGTTAATCTGTTTTAGTCAACATGTTTTGTCCACTGTGATCTCTGCATTCTGTTTCTTCACACCCAAACACTCTCAGCCTTCTCCATACCCATTTAATGTAGATGGTCATGTGTTCAAGCACAGAAGAATAATTCCTTCTTATTAAAAGAGGTGATTGCTCTAGTCCTAGATTCAAGGGGAAATAACTCAACTGATTGGAACTTTTCACCTGAAAGGCCATTTCAAACATAAAAGCCAAAGATATTTACACAAATAAGAGTCCACTCCATGGTTAGTGTTTCTGTAATATATATGTATATAAAGTATATGTGTATATAATATTATATGTCACGTTTATCCATGTATATTTAGTTGCTTTAGGGAGCAGCTTTAAATGCCTCTTATCAGAAGGAACAGATTTTCTACATTTTTTGTTTCTTAACTCTGGGAGCAAGAAAAAACAAAACAAAACTGTCCTGTCTCTTGGTTAAGCCAGCCAGGGGTAGGCAAGAAAGCACCTGGGACAGAATTCAAATTCTTTGAACAGAATTTCCGAAGACCCTTTGGAGGCTCTGCCAGGTACATCCCAAGGACAATGGGCTCAGAAGATGGGAAGGAACACCCTCTAAGCTGCTGCTCTCTTTGGGGGCTCCAAGTGGGTAGAGGGGTGCCCTATTCCATCCCAGAAGGACTGTTTGGTGACTGTCTCTCTCTGTCAGATGAGAACGCTAAATTCTCCCCCAGGTAGTTCCCCTACATGCATGGGTCAGCCTCAAAACTCAAATAAGCTTCCTGTCACCCACCCCTGTTACCCAGTCCCATGCCCACAGCACTCCCATTAAGCAAAATCCCCCAGGACAATTAGCATCACTGTTCCCTTGAAGCAGTTCAAAGAGATGCCAGGGGAGAGAACACAGGAATACAAGCAGACTCAGTCAGACCTGGCCACAAGCAAATGCATCCCAGGTTCACTCCAACTGCAGAGCAGGTTAATCCTTACCCCATGGTTGCTGTACAGGTGGTAGCAGTTGCCTGGGTTTTCAGCAGAGCAGGACTCCAGAGAAACCCGCCTTGACTCTGTGCTGTCCTGTCGACTCTCACAGGAATAGAACCTCATCTGAGGCTGGGAAGCAGCTTTATGTGCTGTGGGTGTGCTCTTGTAGCCAGCAGTAGGAAACTGAAACTAGAAAGTGAAAGTAAAGCCAGCAGCTTCACCCAAATAGAAACAGAGAGCAGAGGGATTTCCTTTCCTGCTTCCTTCTCTGAACTGATGGGGAGAAGGCTAGGAAACACACAGACTTGTCAGATTCTTTCTGCAGTCCCAAGTCAGACAGGTGTGGCACCAGAAGAGTCTATCTGTTGGGGTTGATGGCTGTAATGTGGATGTACAGGACACCAGACCAGCCTCTTAGAAGCAGAACTGTTCTTTGGGCAAAGCAACTGTAGGTCTGCAGTCTATCTTGGGAAGTGAGCCTGTGCCCATGTGGCATTGGGGCTCATAGGATTTGGCAGGGTGGCAAAGGGAAAGTTTGGGAATGCCAGAGTGACTTCCCCTGCAAG